TGTCTTCTCCGGCGAGAAGGCAACCCACACAGTGGGCTGCCTTCTCGCCGGAGAAGGCGACGTTTCTCCTCCTTTTTTTTTTTTTTTTTTTTTTTTTTAATAATATTTTTATTAATTAAATATTAAATTAATAGATTATTAATTGCAAGTTTGACCCGGTGGTGCAAATAGCAAAATGTACTCCTTTTTGCTATTTACACCACCCATTAATTATTAAAAATTTTCACTTTTTATAATTTCGAGATGTTTTTTGGTCAAAAGGTGGTGCAAATAGCAACACCCAGTGAAATACCAATTTCTAAGGGTGCTGTTTTATTTAGGCGAGAAGTTTTGACAATTGAGCATTTACTGTTTCTTATTGCTATTTTATATTAGAGGATATTTACAACAAAATTTTGTCCCGTGTATTATTAAAAAATTTAATGCTTCCTAAATTTAACTCACGATTACCAAAATTCTTTATACTCATTGAATGTTTATGAATTGATCCATTTTATCATGAGTTAAAAAACCAGTAACATATAGGGCGGAAATTCATTGATAAGGGTGAGATGATGATGATGATGATTATGTATATTCTCATATTCCAAAAAAAGAAAAGAAAAAAACAAAGTAAATGGAATATGTTTTCTATATCTACAAAAAAAACTCAAAATTTGATATTCGATGTGGCAAGTTTTGTATGATTCTTTTATTTTAAATCTCAACTTATATTAAGAATATCACATTAGGCCAAGCACATTGTGCTCAGATAACATGTAGTGACCTCTTCTATGTGGGAGGTTATGAGATCGAGCTTCAGTAAATGTGTTGTTGACTCTTTGTACTTAATTAGACTACAATATAATAGAGTCAGTAGCATTCAAAAAAAAAATCACATTAGGTGTGACAAAAAATTGTATGCTTTTGGTAGAAACATCTAACATTTTCATTTTAAAAAATCAGAAAAGTATTAAACAAATATTTTTCAAAACCTTTATTTTTGAATTAGAAAATAATATCTTCTATTGTTTATTTTCTAATTTAAAAAATAATTACATTTGAACATAAAATTTTGTGTCATACTACCCAATGTGTTTTTAAAAGGTTGAGTCTCCAACCATAAAGGCCCATCACACCCCCGCCTGACAGAGCATCTGCGATGATGTAAGTCATGATAACGCAGCTAAACACAGAAGCTAGACCTTTGCTTACTGCGCACAAGGAGCCCCCCACTTTGAGAGGTTGCTCCCACACTGACGCTGGTGAGACTCGATCCCGCTGGGTCATTGTTTCCAAACTTCACTCATGTGACCTACTGAGCTACCATGCGGACTACCCCATGTGTTATTATTGTCGTGGTGCATGGAATATTTTTATTAATTAATTACTATTTTTTTTTTGAGTAATGAGAGAAATTTGTAATCATCATTTAAAATGTATATTGGATAAATCCCGACGACCATCTAACTAACTTAGCTAAGTTATTTTTTTTTTTTTTTTAACCATCATAATGAATGTTGACCTATAAGTAGTGATTTAATTTTGAAATAAGTTACCAAATATGCCTAAACACTCCATAATTGTTTGGTGCTTGCAAAATAGCGGTCCCTAATCAAGAGAACTTTTACAATATAATGTAGTTTATAAATTTTATGTTTTAAAGTATTTAACCCCTACTAACTTAATAGTAGAGCAAATTTCATGCTCAACTATTATAACATTGCAACATATAATATATTCTTTTAATTATTTCATGACTTTCATTTGTTTGTTGTAATCAATCCTCTGTTTAAATTTTGATCATTATGTACATCTTTAACAAAGATAGCTAATATGTAAATTTATCATTCAATACATACTCTTAGCCTTAACATAGTAACATGTAATTTTTCTCCACTCTTGTAAAAGTAATTTTTAGTTGAATGATGAAATTACATGTTAGATATATATATATATATATATATATATATATATATATAAATGGTGGAATGATATAAATTTTTTGAAAAAAAAAAACGCTAATTGTAGCAGTTAAATGAAAGTCAATGATTTAATGATACAAAATTAAATGAGTAGAATTGAATGTGGCAAAGTCACAATAGGTAATGACTAAAAGTGAAATTTGTTATCTCGAAAAGGGTGATTGAATGGGTGGAACACGACTCTCACACATGAAAGTTACACGCTTGATTCTTTCTAAACACCCTCTTAATCAAGTCTCTCTATAGAGTCTTTTTAGTACAATTTACCTTTCTTATGTGTTTGCGAGCTGCGGGAAAAAAAAATCAAAATCAAAAGAGAGAGAAATGAACTTTGCTCTTAATAGTATTGTAATTTATTATAATTGATTGGAATTTCTATGTAAAAGAAATTGAAATTATGTTGATATAATATTGATAAAAATTAATTTGAATGATTATACTGCGTTGTAATTTATTAGAGCTTCAATTCAATGGATTTGAGATAGCATTAAGTAAAAGAGAAACTTTTTGGATCTCCGAAGAATCTGCTAACTTGTCTTTCCTCCGCCATGCATGGATCTGCATATTAAATTCTGTTCAGACAATTTGTCCAGGACAACAAGACGCACGTGTGACACAAATTAAATTTATAACTAATCAAAAAATATAATAATAGAAAAATATGCCCTACCTTGTTAATCAATTATAGAACATACATAATTGTTGTTGACGATTTTTTTTTTTTTTTTTTTTTTTTGCAAATATTGATAGAGCATACATAATTGTTAATCAACTATCAAAGATGAATATATTAGATGAAAATTTGTATTTCTTTGTTCATTCATGTTGACCCAAGAGTTCGGGTGTATTAATCATATTAGAGAAATACATTGTGATTTCATAATAAAATATTTAAGACCTACTATTCAAAAATAAATATTGAGGGTAACATTGAGTTGAATGTATTTTATCAATTGTTTTGTCTCTTTAATTAATTAATGACATAAGCATTTGTTGTTTATTTCATGACACAAAGTAAAATATATAATGAAATTAAATATACTCCTAATCCTAATTTGAAAGTTCCTTGATCGCTTCTAGTAGGTGATAATGAGGGCTCCGAATGTTCTCAAATTGCATGCACGTGGCCATCTTTGAATCAATTCAATCTCTACTTTTACCTTGTGAAAACTCTCATCCCAACAAATGCACTATCCATAATATATTTATAATATTTACACTATCCATAATATATTTAATTTATAATGATTGTACATCTCACAACTTAATTAATAATACTCGTATAGATACTAGTTCAAATGCGCGCTGACAGTATTTCTCATGCGATCAATGCAGATTCACCATTAGGTATGCAAAAATGCACTATATAGTGTCAGAAATGCACCACACACCCAAAAAATTATCACACACTTAACCTAATAATGCATTTTCGAACACTTTGTGGTGCATTTATGTGTACTTAATGGTGGGTAACTGCACGACTGCACGGAAATCTGACCCTACTCACACACACACACATATATATATATATATATATATATATATATATATATATATATATATATATATTGTATTTATAATATTTATTTCAAATTGTTGATTAGGCTTTCTTCTCATCACTTGAGGATGGTCATCCGGAGAGTGGGCAGATATGTATAATTTATTCATGGTTTGGTCCGGTCAAACTAGTTATCCAATTAATTGGGAGCATCATGGCTTAGGTTATTGCCAACACACAATTGTTATAGTGGACAAGGAGACAACTTGGTCTGTTTAATTCTGCCAAGATTGTCAACTATGTCTTACGTTTTTGCAGCAATTTGGTAGGGATGTTCACAGTTTACACTCATTCTATGTTTTCTTCCATAAACTCTTGTGGTCTGAATGTTAGTAAGCGCACTATATATATTAATATAATGCATGGTCCGATCATCTCTTGTTCAAACCTTCAGAATCATATGAATCTTCCCAGCACTTTACCACTTGGCATGCATAGAATTATAAATAGAAATTAATTGCATTTTATTTAATTATTTCTTTCCCTATGATCATCTCTTGGGATTTGGCAATAATATTTATATTTTCTTCAAGAATATAAAGTCAAATGTGGAAAGTAGCTAACGTTTGGAGCCAAAGTTTTAGCTAAGCATTTACCCAGGTTTTAGCTAAGCATTTACCCAAGGTTTTAGATAAGGTTTGTAACAAAGGCTTGAGCTAAGTTTGCGTTAAAGAATTGTGTCAGGAGTAGATTTGAATTAAATAAGTTAGATTGCATTAAATGTTTGCATGAATTGTAAATCTTAGACACAAAAATCTAAGGTTAATATTGTAAAGATTATGAACAAGTGATTTATTGATGAAACCACGGACAGCTATAAATAGCTTTACAAATGAGAGAAGATAGCTATTAGTTACAACAACTAGCCTAATAACTATTATACAGGAGCTAGAATAAGACTAAATATAATAAGAGAAGATATCAGCCACACATATCTTTAACATGCCCTCGCAAGATTGAGGATCCGTCGGAGACTCCAATCTTGGAACGAAATTGAAGAAACAAGGACTGGCCCAAGGGTTTGGTAAGGAGGTCAGCTAGCTGATCTTTGGAAGGGATGTGTCGAACAACTAGTGAACCATTAGCAATCAAGTCACGAACGAAGAAGTAATCAAGTGCGAGATGCTTCATACGCGAATGGAACACCGGGTTTTCGCACACATAGGTTGCGCTAAGATTATCGCAAAACAAAAGAGGATGCCTCACCAGCTACAACTGAAGCTCACAGAGCAAATTCCTTACCCATAAGACTTCTGCAGCAGCATTTGCCAAGGCTCGGTACTCAGACTCCGTGGACGAGCGCGACACGGACTTTTGGCGAGCGGACTTCCAAGATATGAGATTGGAACCGAGATACACTAAGTATGTGGTGGTGGAGCGGCCATCAGCAGTGCAACCTCCCCAATCAGCATCCGTATACACAGTGAACGAAAGTGGTTGGCCAGCCCGGAGAAATAAGCCATGATAGACTATGCCCTTCAAATACCGAAGCAACCGTTTAGGCGTTTAGCAGCCTGCCAGTGCAACTCTGTAGGCGAGTGCATGAACTGTGAAAGACGATTGACCGCATAGGATATATCTGGCCTAGTGATGACCAGGTACTGCAACAAGCCGAGGAGACGCCGAAACTGAATGACATCAACCGGTGTAGAACCAGACGGTGCAGGGAGCAACTTGTCCGAGGCAGCTAGCGATGTTGAAACAACCTTTGCACCATCCATCTTAAACCGAACTAGAATATCAGTGATGTATTGGCTTTGAGTCAGAAACAGTCCAGTTGACGATTGAATAACTTCAATGCCCAAAAGATGATGTAAGGAGCCAAGGTCTTTGAGAGCAAAACAAGCTGACAGAGTGTCAACAAAGCAATTAAGCCAAGCAACATCATTACCTGTTAAGATAATGTCATCCACATACACCAGGAAATAAACTATAACATTATTAGCAGAGTAAACAAATAAAGAAGCATCTGCTTGTGACTTCACAAAGCCACACCGTAACAAGAACTACGATAGCTCCAAGTACCAAGCCCTCGGTGCCTGCTTAAGACCATATAGAGCTTTAATCAGCTTGCAAACATGGGATGGAAACACTACAAGAAAAATGCACATAGACAACACTAGAAAGACAACAGTTTTTAAGAAAAGTGTTGTCTTTTGTATAAAAGACAACAGTTTGGTCCAAAACCGTTGTCTTTGATGCAACACTTTTGTCAAAGACAACGATTTTTACTTAACCGTTGTTATAAGTGTGTTGTCTTTGTGCATTTTGTGAAAAGACAACACCACAACGACAACGGTTTTTTAAAACCGTTGTCTATATGCGTTTTTTTTAAAGACAACAGTTTTTTTAACCGTTGTCGTTGGTGTGTTGTCTTTAAACGCACTAGAATACACAACACTAGAAAGACAACGGTTGTTTAAAACCGTTGTCTTTGTGCGCTCTTCTTTGTTAAAAAAGACAACGGTTTTATTTAACCGTTGTCGTTGGTGTGTTGTCTTTAAGCGCACTAGAATACACAACACTACAAAGACAACGTTTTTTTAAAACCGTTGTCTTTGTGCATTATTATTTTATAAAAGACAACGGTTTTATTTAACCGTTGTCATTTATCACTACACCAAAACCGTCATTTAGCGGCGGTTATTTTGTTGTTTAACGGCGGTTTTGAACCCCCACCAAGCTGTTTAGCGGCGGTTCTTCAACCGTGACTAAATGGTGTGTCGCGAAGGATTTAGCGGCGGTTTTCAACAACCGCGGGAATTAATGGGAAAATCATTTAGCGGCGGTTTTGTAACCACCGCTAAAATGAGGTGCTTTTCATTTGATTTTAGCGGCGGTTTCAAAACCGCCACTAAAATGAGGGTTTTTTTTTTTAAAAACATTTAGTGGCAGTTTTGCAACCGCCGCTAAATATATTTATTTATTTATTTATTTAAATTTTAATAGCTATTATTAAGTGTCGCTAATTTTTTTCCTTTATTTATTTTTAAAAATTTTAGTAACGGTTATTAAGTGTTGCTAAATAATTTTTTTATTTTATAATTAAGTGTCGCTAAATGTTTTATAATTACATTATTATATTTTAAAATTATCATTTAATTATATTTATTCAAAAATCTTTATATTCAAATTCATATTACAATCACAAATAACCTATGTACACATTTAATTGGAAAGAAAATCAGTTATAACTAATGTTTATAACAAAAACAAAGAATCTTTATATACTGGAAGTCAATTGTTTTAGAAACTCCCACACCAATAAAGCTTTCTAAGAAGCCAGTACAAGAATACTTATTAATCCATTGACATTCAAAAGGAAATCAAAAGGCCAAATTTCATAACAGGATGATGAACATTGTCTAAATCCACATCAAGTTGAAGTGGCCCAGGGAAAGTCCCAGTCTCCCTCTGTTCATTCCATCTTTCAACCTGAAAGGAACCAATTGGACGTAGGATTAAAATATAACATCAATTAAAAACAGACCCTTCTTAAGCAAAATAAAAAATCCAACTACTAGAGAAGGGCTAAAGAACCAAAGCAATTACCCATTAGCACTGCTCTTGTGGTGTTTCATCCTGAGTTTGCTCTTGAGGTGTATCATTATCTTGAGTTTGTTCATGATTTGGAAATGTATCTTCATGTGGTGCATCATTCAACAATTGCTCGTGTGTTGACGTAGAAGATTGTTGTTGAGACCTTGGCCGACTCTCATATCCATGAACCTTTTTTTATCTTGGCATACCTACACAATAAAGAATCAAAGTGAGCTGGATATCTAATGCTGGCATGACATTTCAAATAGCATAGCTGCATAAAAATGAGGATCCACAGATTGAGACAAACCTTTTTCTCGAATCTTCTTCGAATACTCATTTTGTTTTGCAAGATAGGTTTTCCTTTTATTTAAGAGTTGCTCCAATTCTCTCTCCTCCTCCTGAAGGGTATCCTGATAATTGTCTTCCATAACCTACATTCATAGTAATTTTGTAGACCAATGACAAAATAGTCAAAAACTTAGTAAGCTCAATTTCATAAGGATACACCACACCTACCTTCAAGTCGTCTTTTTCCTCTTTGATCTGTTTGAGCTTCTTGCTTCTATCATTTATGCTTTCAGAAACTCCTTAAAGGATTTTTTTTTTTTTTTTTTTTTTTTTAATGATATAGCATGGAAAATTACAAAACATTGAAAAATAAGCAAAAGAACTCACTTGTAAGCTGTTGGGTCAAGTTTTCAACTAATATATGAGCCTCCACTACTTCCTGCCCCTTTAATACAGGAGCTGTTATACTTGCAGTTGTAGAGCAATTGTCATTACAGTTTTCCCCAGGTCCATAACATCTGCTAAGATGGCAGAAATCATATTTTGTAGAGAAATTAATGTATGCAACAAAAAAAATAGCTATAGAGAAAAGAGGTAACAAAGAAAACTCACTCCCCATCTTGTTTTCACTAGAGAAAATGTTCACATAAATTGCAGGACCCCTCCTGTTGAGAAGCTTGGTCAGCAAATTCCCAAATTAATAGAGCAAATATTTCACAAATTTAGGTGAAACTCATAATATCAAGTACAAAGTAGTTTTCTTTTAATGTTTTGACATCTTATCTTATATCCCAAGAAAAGTGCATACTCATCACAAATTCGATATGCCGCCCAACATGGATGCAAAACTTTGGTTGTTTGCTCTGCCTCAGTTCCCTTCTCTAATTCTGACATCCAGTAAAGAGCCTGTTTCTGGTAGGGCCTTAGGCAACACACAAGTGTTTCAGGTGGCTTTATCTCCTACAAAATGCATATAAAACAAGAAAGATCAGCAGAAAGGCAAAATGACTAAATACAACATAGAAAAGAAAAGGAATTAGAGAGGATAATGTTACATTTGTCTCTGGATGGTTTAACCTCAAGCTTTCACATGCATACTGATTCAAATCAACAGTCCATTTCTGTATTTGAATTTAATAACCTTATCAATACAAGTTAGAAACTTGACTAGCAAAGGTAAGCTTTCAAAAGCAATTATAACTTACAGTAACCAGATTAGCACCACAACTATTAGCTCCTAAACATAATCATGTAAACATTCCTCCATAATTGTTAAGAGATCTTCTATTCTCCTATGATCCTATCCACCACGTTGTTGAATTCCTACAGAAAACATTCAGTAAATTATGCTAGCAAAATTATTGTATAGGATTCAAGTCAAAGAAACAAGACTTGTAGCGAGTATCAAGAGAAAGGAATTTCAATCTGGCAAGCTTTAATTTGATAAATAAGCCACATCTTTATTGCCTCATTCTACAGTGGAATGTTAGACAATAATCATCTCAAGAACATTTATTTGATAAAGTAAAACTGTATGTTCTATGAAAACAGAAGTTCACAGATCAAGTTTCTTAACCTCGCAATATGGATGAATGCATGCTAAAGAGCCAGAGTAAAGTGATTGCAGTAATTTCACATATTAGATAGAAAAATGATACTATCTAAAACCTATAAGTCCAATTACATTTTCAAGTTACAGAATAAACATTCCAACACTTTAGAACTACTTTGCATCCTGCATAAGGCTTTAGATAAGAGTATATGAAAATATGCTTCTTGTATAGCAAATGAGTGCACCCTCTATGTCTAAACCTTTAAGCAGAATCCCATGTTCTATGAAGAAAGTGAAATAAGAACTTTTGGCAGAACTTGAAACTAAAACCTTTAGAACTGGTGGTTTTCTTGATATAGTTCAAAAACCTTTCTTCATAAATAAAGCTATTTTGCAAAACTTGAATCTAAATCCATCTCTCATCCATCATTAATTGATGAATCATGCAATTACTAATTGCTATTTTAGGTTATTTCAGTAATTCAGTAGAAAAGAAATACATACTCATATGGCTAGGCCAAGATGAAACATAGACGGCAAATTATTACATTTAATCAGTAAATATAAGAAAATCTAGCAGTAAATTTAAGTTTTTGAAACAACTTACCTTGAGTTCCCAGTAAGTATGTCTTCGGCGGTAGCGGGAGGTGGCGGACTGGCGGTTGATCTGCTGCGTCAGCAACGGCGGCAGGGAGAGGGAGCGAGAGGTGGCGTCTGACCTTCTACGTCGTCGGCAGCAACGGGAGGTGGCGGACTGGCGGTTGATCTGCTGCGTCGGCGTTGATGTTCCTCCTCGTGAGCGGCAATGGCGTCTCCACTCTCCAAGGAGGCAGCGAGAGATTTTAGAGTTTCCCTACTTTACTTTTTAAACTCGATCAATGCTTGTTGTAGATTATTACCAACCGATAATTTATAAAATTTTAGTACAAAATTTAGAGGCTGTTGTTATAATTGTCGCTACAATTTTTTTGAATGCTGAAGCTTGAATACACAACACTACAGGTATGTTGTCTTTAAGCACCTACTGAAACACAAAGAACCAATAACGCCTCCACTAAGGCTCGAACTTACAATCTTCCAAATGGAAGTCCAACCCGGGTACCATTAGACCACATAGTCCTGGTACACTACAAAGACAATAATTATATAAAAACCGTTGTCTTTGCGCAAAAGACAACAGTTGTATAAAATATAAACAAAGATGTTAACAACAAGAGTCAAACCTATGACCTCAAACATAACAATTAAGGTTTAACCAACTAAGCAACACAAACTCTTATATACCAAATGTGCAACATCTAGTATATAACTAGGATGCTTCTGTGTTGTCTGTGAAGGGGTTAAGAGCAGTATGTTTGAACTCTATATTCACAATTACAGAACTCTATGTTCAAATTATGAATCTACTATATAGCAATTATGAATCTACGATTTAGAAATTATGAATCTAGAGTAAGATTTTATAAATCTACAGTATAGAATATATGAATCTACAACATAAAAATCTATGAATATCGCGTTCTGTACCTATATACCCGATACTATTTTGGGTCTAGCGACCCGGGTAATAAAGCTAATATTTTCTTACCATGTTCTATATCTACATCGCTTGGTTTATGATGGACTCGGTCCCTATAAAACCATGAATATACTCGGCCTACAGGCACCCT